AAGGCTCCCTTTTCCCCCCTTCCGTCATGGCTGTGGATCCATTCAGTTGTTGCGAGCGCGCTGCTAAAATTGTAAGCTTGATCCAGAATGGCCATGTAAATCATGTAAATTTTATCTGTTCTCTCGAATTCACAATTCTGTTGTGTTTTAGAGCTATGGCGCTGGTAGAACTGACACCTTTGCAATCGCCAGTATACGATGCAAATTGGTGGTACTGCGTATATGTTTAATTGTGTGCCCATTATTGACAGCTCGAGCTTGCAGATTTCATGTTGTCCTAGTTAATTCTAAAAGAAGAGTGTGACTTCAATTTCAAAACAACATAGTGAGCAATACGGAGGCGGGCGAGTTCTCAGACAAGATGACCTTTGTGGAGTTCACCGAGTCGAAGGAGCGGCTTAAGTCCAATTAAGATTTGAGAGTCCTCGGCCACAGCAATTTTGATGTCATCGAAAATTAAGTGCAATCCTTCTCTGCAATATAAACAGAATAAGGTCCGTGCCTTAACTAACCTGATAATTGACAGTTACAGGCGCACAGTAGTGGGTGGGGTTTGCTGTACGCGTGTCAAGAGGAGGTGTGTTTTTTTAATGATAGGCCTACTTTGAATTTCAAAATTCACATCCAATAGCAGGTTTGGGATAACCGTTTTCTCGGTTTAGTTTCCACGGGTGACAGTTGATAAAAGAGATCAGCATCCTACTTAAGAGGAGCCCAGTTGCTAGTCCACTTGCAATCCTTTTCACGTTCTTTTACGGGGCACCTTCTTAAAACAATATGAAAATGATTTTTCCCTTCCCCAGTATAAACGATGCCAGCTTCCGTCTTGTAAGCTTTTAGCTTATACGTTACAAAAAGTACGGGAAATGATGCGCTATGTAAATAGTTGACATAATATTGCATTACAAAAAGGTGAATTTAAAAATGGCGCAGAAGTTAATCCACCTCTTCTGTTTTACGTAAGCCCGATGCATGGCAATTAAGAGTCTGTCTTGGAATTGGTTCGTCTCTCTTTTCAGCTAGTAAGGGATGAACATGCTTTATTTGACAAAAGGAATGGCGTTGGATAGTTTTACAAGCCCTTAACTTTGCAACAACGGAGGCACATCGTTTGGCTCACTGATAATTTTGGCTGTTTTTTATCGAAGATACGAATTAGTAATTCTTTTTCATACACATCACAAGTTGTTTGAGTATTGGCCTATTTTGCGCTGAATGCCAGCGGAGATGGAGTCACATTCAACCAGCAGCTGAGACGGTTATGTTGATTCTAGAGCCGAAGGAAGGTTTGGCGTCTAAAAGCTCCACGAGGCGAAATGGCGGGAGTCGAAATATTAGATTATAGATCGATTTTGACTTGAATGTGGAGTCGGGGCAGGTGACTAAGCTTGGAAATGTCTTCCTTCGGAACTTCGTTACATATTTCCCCGAGAGGATTGATTGCTTATATTCGAAGGTAACATTTGGATTACTTGTCAGCGTTATTATATCTCCATTCCAGCTCTACATAGCTAGCAAAATCCTGTAAACATCATCCTTGAAATGCTGCAGTTCTGGACAATCACTCGAAAACACAGTCTACGGCGACAGTTTGTTTTCCTTTATCGGCATGACATGTTTTCCAACTTGCAGTCGCCACTAGTTCATTACAAAGCCACGTGCGAACATAAAAAAGAAAAAAATTGACTGCTAAATTCTTCGAAAATGAAGCGGAGAGGATTTCAATATTGATGCCACTCATCTATTCCAGGAGCACCGAGTCTTTGTCAATGAGGCCTGGGATTTCTTGGTATGGTTGGTACCCGCTAGCTTATCCTTTTATGGCGTTCGGTTACCGCTGGGAACCCGCCTCCCATCTTACACGCCTGAGGCGACCGCAAGATTCTCAATGTTCCCGCCAAAATTGTCACTGTGGATTACCGCTCACACATAAGCGTTCTTCTTGGTAGCAACCAGCCACCCCCCCCCTCTCATCTGTCTTCCAATCAAGGAATTGCATACTTACATATGTGAAATATTCCACATTGCATACTCTGTGTTTTCCATTGAGTATAATTTGCGTAACACTCCAAATGATTCATTAAGTAAACGAACACTGTGTTGAGTGTAAAGGGGCAATATTGCCATTATCCAGAATATATGAAATTTTGCCACTGTTATTCATTTGTTTGGTATTTTGATCATTGTAACTAATAATTACATCCTGCACGATATACCAACGAAAAAATCACCGTTTGTCACGACATCTTCAAATTACGGTTGTTCAATGACAGTGCCTTGATTAAAATGAGGAAAATTATCTCTATGAGGACCTCGCTGCGTGGCATACACTTCTGCACTGTCTGTTTTGATAAGGAATTCAACTCACAAGGTCATGCTGCTTACAAATCCAAAAATATATGAGTAGACAGGCAACACTGACAATGACGTCAGAAAAGGTTATTACGTCTTGCCATTGATGAAATTAGCTTCGGTAGTGCACTGCAAGTAACCGTTAAGTAGTTATGCTGAATTCCAAGTAAATCGTGCAGCGAGTCAAAATAGACAATGAAATAAGTCCAAACAATACACTGTAATATGATTGCCAAACCATATTCTGGTCAATAAACAGGACGTGACTGCTGTTAGGAATGTGCAAACAGGGAATATAAATCTAAATAGATAAAGCATTATCAGGATTACATATCGCAAAAGTTTCCTATGTGTAGAAATTAAGGTTTTCATGGTCGTGCTCGTGCCAACATGACCGACTCGAATGAAGTCTATTCTAGTAAGGTAACCGCAGTTCACCCTTTCTGGAGTAAATTGCCAAGCTCCCTCAATTGGTCTGACGTAATTCAGGAAGCGATTGGGAGGGCACGGTCCTGTCGCAAACTAATTGAGAGATTCGCCGGGGTTGATTACCACTGAAACTTCTCCGGATCCAAGCGGGCCGTCTGGACAGTCACTTCCCGTTAGGCGCCTTTCCCGCCCAGCCCGTTCTCATCCCGGGCGCTGTACTTGACGGCTTACAAAATGCAATGACCGTGAATGAATGGCCACCAATATAATACCACTTGGTATTCTTAAAATCAGCCATCAGTTGATTTAGCATGTCAGTCACAGGAGTCAGGTCATTGTGCGTTGAAGGCTCCGTTTACACGAGCAACTTAGCCAGCGCGATGGTGTGTCGACTTGATTTTTCTTTTTTGGTGTGTATGATAGAGGGAGTGATCGCCCACAGGCTTGCGTGTGTGAGAAATAAACCAATGTTGAAAATATAATTTAAAAAATCGATTTATAAATAAATGATTCAAAATCATAATAAACGATGAAGTGTGCTAAAACGGGAAATAATCTCGCTGAATCGATGTGTATGTCAAGAAAAACTGTTTTGCAACTGCATGTGATTGGCTTGTGCGTGTAGGACTCCATTCGATAAAAGAACAGAGAGGTGTGAATGATAGATGACACGTAGGTGCTCCGTCGTTCCAAGCTCATCAAATTACATCTTTTAGTTAGATATCAGTCAACTGTTTCATGATAATTGGTTCCGGCAATTTCAAAAGGGTGGAACAGGAGAAACATTGCAACAAATGTATGGGAGTAAGGGACAATTTCCCACAACCCGAACTCTACACGTTCTCAATAAGTTACGCTCTGATATTTTGGGTGGAGTTGGTTGGAATTAAGGCTACTTTTGTCCTCTTCCTTGATTTGAACTTCCTTTTCGAGTTTACCTGAGATTTAAATTTAAATCCCCGCTGAGAAGAGAGGACAGTGTAATCGAAAGCGGCACAAAGATCCAGTCAGTCTTTGTCATCAGAGACTGTATACTGCCAAACAACCTATATCCTATCGACTACCTGCAGAGGGATACTGTTGGAGTCGTTTATATTTTACTTCCGCGTACGTCAAGAGACGGTTCATCGTCGGTATTTCTCCGTCGACTTCCTGACGAGATGAAATCAACGCGCTCATCAATTCGACTGCAGGGATTGAATTAGATTCGCAAATGCCTGACTCGAAGCTCTTATTAGCTGCACTAAAGCCATGCGCACTACTAAAGGAAAATAGTGTTTCCACTCTGAACTGGTGGGCTCTCTGCATGGCTAATGAAATCATAGGCATCTTGTAACAAGGGAGAAATGTAGAGCCTCACCTTGTGAATATATACACTGGGAGCTCGAATCTAGCTGAAAATAAACAGGGCGACAGGTTAGATATCATCACACAACGTTGACGATGTTTGCGTTCGCTGCCAACTGCAGAAGATGGACATTTTAACGGGCGTTTCAATGAGGTACAGTTCGACGCAGAGTGGAGGATGAACTGCTAAAATTGTATGAATAACATCTCTTACGTGGAAATATCTTATGTATTGATAATTCCATCTGACTTTCTTTAGGGTTTTCTCCGAAGTTCGAAGGCAGATGGAGAACCCACATAAGCCTAAGTTTAATCCACGTGCTAATTATGCAGATCACAGTTTGAAGACCACTCGAAATCCACAACCCCAATATTTACGCTCCAAACAGTTCCCATTTATTTAAGATAACTGCAAAGGATATATTTTAATCGGGGAAAAACCGCGTCCCTGTTTTTCTTTCTTTAGTTGTGCAAACAGCGCCGCGCCCACTGGATCGCCTTGGGCTCGCTCCGCCGATTCCCACGAGATCTCGCGACTAGGGTGCCTTCCGGTGACATCGTCTACAAGAAAACAATAATTAACTGCGATCCATGACGAAATTCAGCGTTAAAGTTTGACCGAGACTTGTTTTTCCTCTAAGTTCTTCCTTTTCTGTGTTCTTTATATTTGTGATTCAGCATTTAGGGAATAAAAAATTTATTTATGTCACTCGTTCGAGATATACTTCAATTTACCATTGACCTGTAAAATGATTCAGTTTACTGACTCATAATTCTACGCTGGAGTTTAAAATCGTCAACAGTTAAACCCAAGTGTGGGGGCTTGTTATCCATGCAACTTCACTCAAAACATTCAGCACTCACAACAAAAGTATGTTTCGTAGGTTATAGGTACAATTTATACACATTCATGCAGACAAATAAATCATCTAGTTATTGACTGCATCGCTCGTCCATGAAGCCTTTCTAAAATTAGATTAGCATAATGCATAATTGAAAAATTTCTGACATTGGAAACCATCCCCATAACAAACGGAAGCTACTATAGCATATATGCTCTAAAACGCCTTTGTAACGCGGGCAGGACAGAGCTGTCACTCTGACAACAATAAAGAATTTCCTTATATAATAATATTATGTTGCCACGATGGTTGTGCCAAGTACCCCGGGTGTACGTGTTCAAGACTAAATTCGTCAAGTTTCATAGGCATACATCGCATTAGGCGTAAGCCCTTGCATAGATGCCTTTTGGATGTTAGAGCACGGGCCGAACTGTTCAGTACCAGAAATGTATCCACATTTGCACCTGGTAATTCATGGTCCAAGTGAATAAACAAGACTTTATACAGTTACATCTTACAGATGCACCATTTATACACTTCACATTGCCGTTTTTACCAGTCTCAACCGAAAGAAGCTTTGTCCAACCTGTAAAAGCATTTATTTTCACATATTTCAGAAGACATGTTCCGAAGCGCTTCTTATCTTTACGACAACATTGTTATGCATTGTAAAATGACCACAGACACCATTATATAAGCGTTACACGCGATATTGTATACTTTTGGAAACTTCCACTTGTTTCAATAATTTATGTTTATAGTGTAATGCTGTTTCCCGGCCTCCTCATTTTATACAGCATATTCATCATGTTCCACATCAGCAGAACCAACAATCTTCAATCACCACATCCCTCCCCCGTGTACGACAACCTGAATCGATTCTCGGGAGTGTCAAAATGCTAATCACTTTCACGGGACCTCGTGCATTCTCGCCTTCCAAAGAAAAGCCACAGGAGTTACAGCATTCCAACTTTAATCATCATTTTTTCTTCGCTCCCTACTTCTTCCTCTCCGTGCGTTTTTCATCCTTCGTGTAATCATTACACTTCCACTTTCTCACGCCATTACATCCTTTCTCTCGTAAATTCGGCTGCCTATTTCTTTTCATTTTACTTCCTCATACATGTGCATGGCTATCCCTTGTGTCCCAACACATCATCGGTTGTTTACCAAACTGTGCCGAATGTCTCAAGCATCACAGAATAATAATGGGTTATTCAAGCACGGCATCTTTTTTCAGCATCGTCTAATTTTTCGCTCAAAAATCCTTCTCCTAAAGAGTCGCCATGCAGGATATATATTACGGTATACATCATTTGTGTCGAATTTTGGCCAAGTGCTCAAGATAATTCACACAGTGTGGGAACCACGTGAAACAAAATATTCCCTTATTATTAATACAAAAATGGCTTCATACAATATTCCACAAACTAAACACAACCTTGTACTCGCTGGGAAACATTTTAAAAAATGTTGGATTTTAACACCAATATTTAAGCCAATTACACAATTCGTAAAAATGACATATATTCTGGTTTTGTGTTCAGATTAACACTATGAGAGAACTGACAGATCAAACACTCTATACTGAATTTAACTCTCAGTTTCAACCTAAGATTTTTTAACATTTGTGACCCTTTGGGAAAAATTAAACAAACCAGAGTTACTATTTCTCCTTTTTTTCTGAGATTCTAGGATTGGTTTACTTTCTTGACGTAATTGGAAACAAAATCAAAATGAAGATGCATATACAGGCACTTCGTGGAATTATTTACATTGCCTCAAGGTTGTTTTTAGAATTACTGCGACGACGATTATTTCAATCACAAGAGATTTGGTTAATTTCTAGACTTTCCTGTCTAGATTTCACAATCACGATTGTCTCGTTCCTGCTTTTTCAATCTGTATAATGGAATATTCACAGGTTTAGGAAAGCCCACATAAGTTGATATTTCATAATCTTACGATTAATTCCAGTTTGTCGCAAAAAAAATGAAAAGCAAGGTCTTGAAATTACATTTCTGTATAAATCAAAAAATGCATGCACATCTTGAAAAAGATAATTTAGAGGTTTTGAACCGTCATATTTTCGGAAATCGTAAATTATATGGGTGCCTGATTTCAAATATAAGGCGAAATCAATGCAATTATTACGGCTAATAACCGGCTCTGTGCTAGGAAACTTAGAGACGAAGATGCATCGGCTGACAGCTTCTTCTTCTACTCTCCGTGATTTGGTAAAGGCATATAACTAGAAAGTACTAATGGTGAGCTGTAATGCATTTTGTTCGGTTGGGTCTATATCAATTCACACTTTGATACATAATGTTTCAAGAATAAATATTTCTTCAAGTCTTTATTTTGCAAAGAGGAATGCGTCTTTACAGCAATGAAAGGTTTAGAGGATTTATCATTCCAGGGGTAATTTTAATGACTGCAATCTTTCACAACAATTAATTTCGACTCATGATCTTCCCAATATAGTGCCTAGCTATCTACCAATCAGAGAAATGAATGGATTTGTAATAACAAACATCCTTGTAAAACTTGGAAACAGAGTACGCGAAATTCAAAATGGATTACATAAGGATTTAAAACGCCTAAAAACTACGGGTTTTCTCAAAGCAATAATTTGTAAACGTAAAACCTGGGGATGCCATCACGTGTAATACGAGTAGATAATATTAGTGGATATCTCACGAGCATCTCACCGAAAATGTCGGGTTACAAATAATCCCTCAGTCTGCACAATCTATCGGTCTTTATCGTTATTTTACGGGGAGCGAGTAATGAAAAAAGCAGATGAATTGTCTGTGCGGTGGGACTGGCTTCCGTATTGATTTAACTTCAGCCGAACCGACTCAGAGTGCAACTTTCTGTGTAATAACTCACTGGAAATTCATCAACACGAAAACACGTGCCTCATCTTTCAACTGTACACACTGTGACATTATCATTATCGAGGTTGAAAAACAGGTGATCGCTTGTACACTCAGCAACTGACGATACATTTGGTTATGTGTCTAATGAACATTAGATGTCTCAAAATAGACTCGTAGAGAATGAAAATGACAACACCGCATCTTCCAGGCATGGTCAAATAAGCATGGCTGAGGTAAACATCATTGCAGATAATTGTTCGATCAATTGGTGATGACCATGTCATCTGCTTGGATGTGGTATGTTTTGATGTCGATGTCATCCGTTGACTTGCATGATATCTGTCAACACAAATCACGAGATGACTACAGTTGGGAAATGTTCAACTGCCACAGCCGATTCACTATCCGTTGCAACGCCGTTAATGTTTAAGCTGAAATTGTTCTTTAATTGCTTTATTTTGTCGTTATTCAACATTTCAAATGGAACGTATTACTCATCAATATGCCCGCTACACTGTCGACATATAAACTCACCAATTATTTCTTATTCTTAAAGATCATAGTTTTGATGGAAAGTTTTCATATTAATGTCACATTTATTTTTATGTTTTTTCATCTACACCACTAAACGAAATGAGAGCGTCTAACGTGGCCAATTTCCATCATATGCCGTTTTATCTTTATTTATTGTGGCTACACAAAAATAAGCCTGTCAAATAGAACAGTATAAGTTCTGTAGACAGACAGAGATCATGGTGACCCAACACTATACCCCGTTTCTTGCCCTTTTAAAGAGATCAAATACGATTCTTAACCATGAAGAATGTAGAATAAAAGTGTCGTACCTCAGGAACAAAGTAGACTACAATCATGAATCTTAACGTTAAAAAGCCACCTTAGAAAAACACAGACGCTGGAGATTGTATGGGGGAAGTTACGTCCCAATTTGAAAAACTCAGAGAGAAACGCTAAAATGACGAAGCTGACAGTGACAAACGGGCTTGATGACAACTTTCCGGAATGGACAATCTCTTCAGGTTGATACGCTCACAGTTCTTGCTATCACTGTTACTCCTGTCCATGTAGGTGTCACTCTCCACGTTCAGACGGTCCATGGTGGCAATCGAAGGCCTTTTCAAGTCATTGTCCCTGACGCCAGGCTTGGTCTTGGTACCCCACGACATCGCGGTGTTGATCACACTACGGAACGGGTCGGTGAGTAGCCCGTACACAAACGGGTTGACTGCTGCATGGATGTACATACAGATCTGCATGGCCACCCATAGACCGTGCACGGGATCTGAACTGAGGAAGGATCCTACTAACATGACGCTGACAACTGGAAGCCAGAACAGAAGATACGCCACGAAGACCAGGAAGAGAGACTTACCCAATCGGAGCTCCTCTGGTCTCATGTTGGCAATGACGGACGTGTAAGAGACTATAGACAGGCGCTTCTCAGAGCGGGAAGCCTGTATGATGCCCGAGTCCGAACCCCGTGGAGATCTGACAGGGAGAGGTAGGAACTCCACGTCTCGTAGAGAACAACGACTTCTCCGTGTCTCCCCGGACTCCGCTACTACGCTCTCTGTCAAGATGGTGGATGCGCGGAACAGGGCGTGTGCTGTGTTCTTGACTCGTTTGGAGCTATTCCGCACCGTGGCACAAATCCGGGCGTAGCAGAAAATCATGAGGACAGACGGTATGATGGTGGAGAACAGGACGAAGAAAACGACGTAAGAACGGCTGCTCGGCAGATCCAAAAAGCAGCTAGGCAGACCCACGCAGGCACGATATCTACCCCAGCCAACGATGGGCGGCGCACTGAATATAGCAGACAACGGCCATATCATGACATTGATACGAACCGTGCGTTTACGTAACACCTTTACAATTTCACTTCTGGCCCGGGATATTACGAAGTATCTATAGATGGCTATATTGAGCAAGATCATGACAATGACAGTGCACGCCCAGAGTGTTAAGAAAGCGACTAGAACGCAGGCGACATCACCGAATATCCAGGAGCCTTTGATCTCGCTAACCAGCGAAAAAGGCAAGCTGACACAGCAGCACAGATCAGCAAAGGCCAAGTTGATCAGGTTGACGTTAGATGCACTACGCAGCTTGGGACGAATATAGACAATCACAATGACCATGATATTACCGATGAGTGCCAAGACAAGCACTACTCCGTACAAGAAGGAAATGGCAACTGCGACCCCTAAGGAGTTTTCTGGTACATCGCAGTCCTCAGTCAAGTTGGTGTACTCCTGCTCAATATCCATGGTCTCGGTATTCCAGCTCTCTACAGTCTCCATTGGGCCTATATCTCACTTAGTGTTCCCTGATGTTTGGTATCATTCTACCATCACAAGATGCCGTTGTTTCATGATGAGTTCAAGGTTTGCGCAGTCTGCAATCATGTCTCTCCGAGCGCAATGGTTAATCCATACACCTGTTCTCCAGCGTAGCGAATTGGAATTCTCATTTCCGCGTCGCCTTGTGAGCTTTCCACATCAGGAGCTCCTGACACTAACAAACGAAATGGGCCCAAATCTTGACAATCTCTTTAAGCCATACCAGCCTATGGTGCGAGCGACGGAGTCTGCGGCTGGCTGTGCGGAGCGACACAAGGGGAGACGGGTGCATGACCGTTTCGCAGCGTAGTGATAACGCGCGCATCAGTCAACCGTGATGGCGATCGTGCCGTGTCGTGTCTTCATTCGTCCGCTGGGGATAATAACGACGGCGGTAAGTGTGGGTGGGATGTTGAGCAGCAGCGTGGAACAAAGAGCTGACACGTGCGCTACCGCAGAACACGACTTGTTCCAATCCTGTGGCATTGTTCTCTTTGGTAATACAAACCGGTTCACTTGGGACAGGGCGCTTGATCAGTGGAATAGATTCGCCGAATAATTACAAATTTTCCTCGCTTCACTTTGTCAGAATACGGTGACGCTGTACGGTAGCCATTTGGACGTTTTGAGCCATATATTTAACTGGATTTCACTGAAACGAAGTCGCCAAATCGGCAGTAACAAACATGGGAAATGTTCGCTATAACCAGTATAATCATTATAATGTCTGGCTGCAGTGGACAAACAAAAATACTCGCTGAACAATATTTAATACTTTCCGACCGATGATGGTATACGGAGATATAAGCTGCAGGGACTTAAACAATATCTTTTGCTTTTATCATTGGATGGTTTGGTAACTCTCTTTTTCATACGAAATATTTATTTACCGTTTTTGTTCATAGTACAGACAAAAACGACGAGACGCCATTCTGAGGTGCCATTGACACTCACGCAGCTGTCTCAGCCTGAGGGTTCGCGCGTACTTCGGCAATTGACTACTGTTTATTGGTCAAGGAGGAATTTCGCGCGCGCGCACCGCCTGCGTGCAAACTGAACAAGTTCTAATTCACTGCAGCGAAAAATGTGAATGGGTACATCGATAATATTGGCTAGACGTGAGTAGCAAAGACTGCTACAGTACCTAGACAGGCTGTTATACGCTGGTTCTTCTATTTGCGTTGAAGCCATGTCTGTTCCCTAAAACTCTGAGTGGTTTACTTCATGCACAATGCAGAATGACCAACAGCACATGCCAAAACTAAGCGCGTCTGGGGTCATTCAGGAATAGTTTGTCTTATAAGCTTAGCCACATCAAGATCAAGAATATCAATTATCTTACACTTAAATATTGACAAAAAAACTGGAAGTAAGAAATGACAGTGCGCATGCGTCGTGAAGAAACGAAGGTGGCCATGATAAAAAGGTGGATTTTTCGTCAGGGCGCCTGCCTCACCCTCCATCCAAGGGCGTCAATCCGGTTTGGAAAGTGGGGGGGGGACAATATTATTGATATAGTAAGTATCCCCCCTCCACGTCAAAAAAGTGGGGGTCATGTCCCCCCTTTCCCCACCGATTGTCGTCCGTGCCTCCATCACGCATGCGCGAAAGTTACAAGTTGTGTATAAAAAAACCTGGTCATGGCACAAGCAACTTCTTCGACGACTTCTCGAATGGTCTAGCATCGCGCAAAATGTAGCAGTGAGCGTATCGTGGTAACTTCTGCTCCCACTGCAAAGGCGAGGAATGTTATCGGGTCGAGCAGTTCCGGCCGTGTGCGATCCGGGTGATTAGTCACGTCGAATGGCTTATACGAAATACTCGTCCATTAATCAAGGCCGGGCCTAGACACGACGGGCTCCCCCCCCCCATGGCGCTCGCTGGAAAATCAGCTTTTAAACTTTGATATAAATAAAACATGAACTGTCGTTAATTCCGATGTCTTTTATAGATACTTCCACACTAAACACCAGCAATTGAGTATGCATGGTAGTTCGTATCTGTCGTGTGCGGCAGACCCTTCCATGTAATTCGTGAGAATTATCTGTGGATACCTAGACGATATTTGATTATGATGTAGAGAGGGAAACCGTAATTAAAGTGTTCTTAATATATTTTAATTTATGGTAAGCTGTAGCTCAGTGGTGGTTTGGAACATATTAGGTAGCGGTATGTTTGCTAAGCCCTAAATATAAACCACCTCAGCGGCAGCATCCTTTACATAAGTATAAAGCGGATTATTATGTACACCCTTCATTTTCAAGGTTTCAATGTGAGAAAATAAAAGGAGTTAACTATAATTGTTCAAAGTGGAGCACTTTTTAAGAAGGGTTGAGATAGAATTTTCTGACAAATTCAGCACCTCGCGAGGAGGTAAGCTTAATAAGGACCTAATTGGCTCAATGCAACACCACAGGAGAAAGGTCAACTTAAAGAAGTATGTTACCTTCCAGTAGATTATTTATGAGGGCTAATCGTGCGCGCAATTTCAGGAAAGAAGGCCCTCGGTGGATTTTTTGTGGTCAGTGTGATTTTGACTGCATGACCCATGTATTGAACTCAAACTAGCTCCTTTTTACTTGTTTGAGTCGTGGCAGATGTGACGTCACATAACGGACACCGCCATTTTCGTTAAGCCTTCTGTGCACTTGTAAATTTCATGCAACTGCGCATGCGTGGAGCAACCCTGTCTCGTAAATGGCTGTGCGACATGTCACTTTGTAGGATGAAATGCAGCGGATAGCGACGACGGTGGAGGTTTCAAATATTCCCGTACCATGATTAAGGCAGAATTACCAGCGCAGTACCTTTAAATCCTCGACATGATTGGAATGACCATTAGGCTGCGTTAACCGTAAATGTTGTTTTCTTTTCAATTAAAGATATTTGGAGACTAATGGCATCTCACGGAGAGACAGCATGACTCATATCGTTAGGCCATCAAGTGGTAGTCCCCTATGTGCCTATTTATCGCCTTTAGTTCCTGCGCTTCCAAGACCTAATGGGCTCGTGTCATGCGCTGGTGCCTGCAAAATCTTCTTGCCACATTGCGTTACCCAGGAACTTACCATTGCGACTGTCCACAGGGAAAGGACAGGGGGGTAAAAAAACATCTAGATGATGTCTCGCGGCACGGCGAATACGTAGGCAATCAAATCCCGCGGAGTATGATTTTGGGAGCGAAGAAAAAATGCGTGCAATTACCTGGAGAGCTTGCAGCCAAATTTGCACAGTGCGATACTCCAGGTTGCAGATGTGGTAAATTAACGGGATAGGAGACGAAGCGCACTGAGGGAATCTGAACACACAACTGCAGAAGTCTGGTGATAAGGGGGTCCTTCTCGACTTGGAAACCGGGAAATTTGTCTCTGGGAGCGTTTGATTTATTTCATTCAAGTATCATGCTTTTCCTCTAAAATGAGACATGTCATTTGATAAACATAAATTATTGACGGCACGTATTTTGAAAAGCACCCAAAGGCGATGCACGATCCAGACGAAAAAGAATACCAAAGATGGCAACTGATTTGTCACGTCTGTCGATGGGAGATTTTCAGTAGGGAATTTAAAACTTAAAGACAGCAGGGATTTCTGAGGATGGAGAATGTGCGTCTTTATAAAAGGCTGAAGAGACAAACAGTATGTTTTGGGAAACGCATTCAGTTTTTGTGAAAATTTTAGTCAGAAAATGAGTTAAGATGACGTCACGGCGAACTGGAGTTATCGATCTGAGAAACAGTGCCACGGTATTATTAAGGTTACCAACCTTTTCAAGGCATTATCAAGGCCTTAGTAGGTACGCAGGCAGCTGAAGACATCCTTATGAAAATAGACTCTAATTTTCATTTCTACGGGATTGCACTTCACAGTTTTTCAGTGGTTCCACACCATGAGAAAAGGAATGGCTACCGACTACCAAGTGCAAAGAGACTATAAGGATTTTTTCCGTGTATAGTCTCGGTGTCGTGACAATTTTACATAGTACATCGTAATTTTATGGTTCATGGAAGGTTGAAGCATGAAAAATATTGCGCCACTTTGTGATATAAGCAAACCTCAAGCGCAAAATGTTCTGCTCAGAGGTTTCAATTACAAAAACCAAAGTCAGAAAGTTGGGCCTAGATCACATTGAGTATAGGAAGTTCCCAAACTATGAACCAGGATATATTAGGTTTTCTGGTCTGGGATTTTGCACGCTGCTACACGCCTACCGATACTGCCTCTGACATTTCATTATACAAGCACATGCTTTATAGGGTAACTCGTCTTTCAAAAGCTGAAGAATGATTTGACCTTTGGTAGACTGTTCGCTCATTGGAGATTACGCAAGCACAAACGCCAAGTAATGAGACTCAATTTAGACAAGCCAATTCTACCCCAATTAGTCTTGGACTGCAGTAATCCACGAGCCGCATTAAAGAAAATCTCATTTAAGATCTGTCACTCAACCTACAGGTCGACGCCATCACTGCGTGGGTCATCACTACCGACGCCCCCTCACTAATCGCAAGAGCTGTAAAATCCTGAAAACACACCCGAGTATGGCGCGCAAAGTTAACATTTAATCGAGTATGCAGATATTTCTATTCTTAAAAGAGATATCTCTGTTAAAGATAGAGATATCTCTACTAGGAATAGAGATGTCTCTATTAGAGATATCTGTATTGTTAATGGAGATATCTCTTTTGTATGTCCTGTTATAATAGAGATATTTCTATTAGGAATAGAGATATCTCTTCTGTATGTCCTGTTATAATAGAGATATCTCTATTAGGAATAGAGATATCTCTTTTGTATGTACTGTTATAATAGAGATATCTCTATTAGGAATAGAGATATCTCTTTTGTATGTCCTGTTATAATAGAGATATCTCTATTGTGTTTCCAGTCCCGCACACTGGGTCAATAGAAAGGTCATTGTAACGTAACATACAAAATTTAACAGGGCAGAGGGTTGTGTAACGTTTCCAAATGTAAACAACCACGAGAGTACAAGTACTGAGACACGATCAAAGCCCCTCAAGATAATAGACAACACAAAACGTCGAGAGCAACCCGCTGAACTCGGAAGCGGAAACTTAATAGAGATATTTCTATTCTCTATTAGGTATAGAGATATCTCTATTAGGAATAGGGGTATCTTTATTATCTCTATTCTGCGATTAAATGTTAACTACGCACGCCATACCCGAGAGACTCTGCGATCTAAAATAGCAGCCAATTTTGATAGTGGCATGGAATCCCGAGTAATCGTCAAACCTCATTATAGAAACAGGGACTTTAAAGGCGTGCTTTGGTGTACGTAATTTCCATAATTAAATGATCAGATCAATTTTAACTTTTGGATGAATTGTTTCATTTTTTAAGCGTAAACAACGCGTAATAAGTGTTGCACGTTTGTGTTACCTAAGACCTTTTCTCAATCATGTTTGTTTGATGACACAAGCCTACGACCTTCTCCCAGCACAGACCTCTCAAACTATATACTCGACTACTGAGCATTCCAGTATGAGCAGGGGATACAAGAGATATTTATAGTTGATGACAAAGACATGTGAAGATCTTTTTTTTTTCTTTTTCTTTTTTTTTTGTAAAGGTCTTGCTTACAGTAAGCTTCGGCAACACTACTCACAAGCCATGAGCACACACTAAGACAGTAAAATCCCCGACGCCGCGTTTGTAAACGATCGACGATATTCATGTAGTTGTGTTTTACTATACCACCGAGGACCCGGCATTGTGTTTTCTACAGTTCCCGCAATAGGAAAAGCACAGGCACTGCCGAGGACACGAGACTGACCAACGAAGACATAAAAACATCGTTTGTTCCGTCTGTGTACTCTCCTCAGTGGTGGACTTCAATATGAAAACTGTAACTAAACACCTGTAGGCAAAATAAAGTATGATATAAAAAAAAACTGGGTTGGCCAAAGTTGAGTTTGGATCTTGCTATTTTATTAAACAAGTCCAGAAAGGCACCGAAGACTCTAAAACCTCATCACGGCCACCTTCTCAAATGTACAAATAAGTCCATACATCTCGTATGGTTAATAAAAAGGATCATAAAACAGCCCAAAAATAGCCACAATAGTTCGCATGTGACAGCAGTTGTTGGGTAGATTCAAGGCAAAAAACTTATCTTACAGTCTCTGTAATGGAAAGCATATTCCATGACGTCCGCAGAGTTTGTTGATGATTTGCAATATACAAACGAATCAGCGCCATATGAAGCATGAAGAAGGCTCTGCGTTCTAAACATCCGTGATGATGATAGATGCTTGGTCAAAAGACCCGTGACCAAAATAGGTCGTGTCAAGTGACGTCAGACGCAAAACAAGTCGAGTTCACGCCGGAGCGATGGGCGCGCTGTGGTCTCTTCCGCTTCCCCGGGTAATAAAGTGAAACATCCCGAGGCTTATTGTGAAACTGAAACATTGAAGAAAATCATTTCCATGAAAACAGACTTCCGAGCTTTGCAAGGATAATCAGTGATAAGCGATACGACCTTGTGCGGCTCCACAAATACCCTAGAAGGAATTGGTAACAGAACCTGGTTCTTAAGTACGGGAAACCCAATATACGGCGAACGCCAGGTCGCACCGCACTTTGCCGTCGATATTCCGGCTTGGATTTCATATGCTTTTCTTCGCGCCAAATTGTCGGTCAATTCTGTTGTGTGGATTTTGATTCAACTCGAAACACGCCTGTTTCCCGCCGGCCAGTGCTAAATTAAGTGTCTCAGTATTATTTTGCACAGAGAGGCAGGCCTACTTTCTACAGGATCTGGTTAAAATAACTGCTTCTTTGCTGAAAAGATGTCCATGTATGTAGGCTGAAGGCCGGCACTTCTTTCTATTTCGACCGTTCCGAGCTGGGGTTTAATGAAAGATTCAAATCATGTGTTGATCGTGTGTCCTCCCTCTGTTTGAATAGTCATGAATCTTTTATTCCGTGAACATGTTTGTGTTCCTGTCTGCTCGGCTGATATGTGCCTTTCGCTCCAGTGGGTGTGTTTCTGTATACAGTCAGGGGGTCAGTCACGATGTTTGCTTGCCCATCTGTTAGGTTCATGTCTATATACTGCGGTCTTCTTCGATCTGTCGTGCACATATATATGAGCCCGTTGATGACGGACACGAATTTACACAGACGTTTTTCGATTTCTTTTTTCAGAGAGATTTATAAAGCGATATATGTTTGATATGGCTGGTGTCTAATCTAAGAGTTTATGTATTCCCGATTGGCCTGTGTACTTTCAATGGCTGACTGAACTCACATGAAGCTGAACACGTTTTCGGGT